TATTAAGTCTAAATTATATATAGATAAAAAGATTATTATTACTATATTTGTATTTTTATTCAAAAATAAAAATCACAACTCTTCCTGATGATCTCTCAGACCAACTTTTCAAAACAAAAAATTTTAACAAAAAATAGTAAAACTATATTAGAGAAAAAGGATATAAGACTGATGAGAACTATAAACTAGTGCCTATTATTTATACATAGTTCTCATATGCTATCTGTTAATAGGTTTAGAGCTTATCACTTACTGTGGGGATGGTATTTGTTATTTAGAAGTAGTTCTTATATACTACTTGCTAACAAGTTCAGAGTTTATCACTTGCTAAAAAGAATATTAGTAGTATGCTTAGATCTACTTGTCTTATTATTTTTGAAAAAATATATACTCTCTTTTAAGAAAAGTATAAGATCTATACTCTTTACTATCACCCACTTGTGCTTACAACAAAATTTTTAAAAAAAGTGGGCAAAATAGCTTACTCTATCAAAAGTTCAGCATTGTTTATTTCTTCTAAATTCAGTTGACCTAGTAGATTGCAACCACATGTTTTGTTTAATAATAATCACATCACTACTTCATATAACAAGGTCTATTGATTGTCTTTGATTAAAGGTTATTCAGAATTGGTCATATAGTTAGAAAGAAATGAATATATTAAGACGAAGTCTTATATTAGAGATATACAGATGTTGCATTTATTATACAATTTTTTAAGCCTAGCACAGGTTATAATAGTGTATTTCTCTTTTCTTTTTTTAGTATATTAGATTACTATATCTTTTTTTTACTTTTTTCATCTTTATTCATTTATAATTGAATCAAATTTAAAACATACTTTTTTTTTCTTGTTCTTGTTTTTTTCTTTTTTTTTCTTTTTTGTTTCTTTCTTTTTCTAAATCTTGTTTTTCTTTTATAAAATGTGGTATATACTTTATTTACTTATATAAAAGTAAGAGATAAACTATTCTGTCTGAACCTAGGTAGAAAAAGTTTTAAAAAAAGATAAGTAGTCTTAACAGGCTAGTAGAAACTATTCAGTAATATTGTATCTTTTTTAGTACAAAAAGTGGTATTTTGAAGGAAAATCCTGCTTATAGTAGATTGCACATAAGTAATTTGAACTTTGGTTGCAAAAAACCAGGTAAGCTAACACTTGTAAATTAGACATCGAAAGGGTTAGCCTTCTATAAACTATAATATTCTCTAGTATAATATTATGAGATCTAATAAAGTGTAAACAAAACTGCCAAAATTATTAAAAAAAAATAAAAAAAAATTTGTATTTTTATTATTTAATTTAATTTATTATTTTTATTTAAAGTATTTGTTTATATATTGGTACAATTTATTAAACTAGGTTTATCAATAATTTACTTAAAAACTTGAATAATTAAAAAATATTAGATTTGTTGATAATTTAGAAACTATATAGTTTACAAATTTTTTTTTTAGAAAATTAGAATAAGTTTTTAGTATTTGCATTAGAGCTTAATATAGCCAATTTAAATTATTTTTATTTGTTTTGCAATTGTTATAAAAATAAACATGCTAATATAGAATTATATTAGAATTATAGTTTAAATATATGAGGTAAGTAATTTTTTTTTTTAGGCAATTCTGTTTTTATTATAAAAAATATGAATAATAAACTACTCTAAAAAAAATTACCACTAAAGTAATAGTTTTCTCTCTTGCACAATAAAGACTTATTTAGTTATCTAAATATCTAAATATGATCTGCTACAGCAAGAAATTTTTTCTCAATTGCAAGTCTTCTAACTGCCTAGAAGTTTTTTGTCAATATTATTGTTAAGTTCTTGCTAGCTTTATCAGGATTCTCTTATTCTATTTTTTTTGGTTTGTTTGAGGAAAGCCATGCTGGTTTTGAAAAGTCTTGTATCTAGCTTTGTATTATGCTTTTGGCTAATTCATAAATTTTTTAAAGCCTTCCTTTTTTTTTTTGCTATTTGGTAGCTTTTTGTGGGTGCTTCTTCCTTCTCACTTTCTCTAGAGTTCCTTTTTATTTTACTTTTTCTTTTTCTGAGATAAGATTTATTTCTGGGTTTCTTTTTCTTTTTTTTTGTTTCTCTATTTCATTTTTTTCTTCTCAGTCTGCAACTATTTCACACCTAAAGTTTTATATTTTCTAAAAAAATTTCTTATTAATCATCACAAATATTTTATACTTGACTTGTTTTTCTTTTGTAGCTTTTTTGTTCTTGCCTAATAGAACTAGGTCCAAAATTATTAATTTTCACTTCTCATATTTATTTTTTTGTTTTCTTTTAATATTGTATTTAGACTTGTTTCTTTTATTTTGTATAAGTCAGTATTACTTGTCTCTTTGATTTCTTTATATTTTTCTGACTCTATTTTTTTCCAAAAAGCCTTATATATATTACATTCTGCCAGGTGTTCTAGTGTCTTTGTTTTTTTGCAACAAGCTATGCAAATATTGCTTTTATAGATTTCTAGATATCTTTTGTGCAATACCGACATTGTAAGCATGCTTTTTTCTATATATTTGATTTTTTGTACCTATTTTCTACTACTTTTCTCACTTTTACAATAATGCTCTTTAATTTTTTCTAATATCCCCATGTACTTTTCTAATCAATTTCTATATTCAAGTATTCACCATTTATTCTATTATTAATATTTGGAAGTTGGCTTCAATTTACATTAAATATTGTATTTGTGATCTCTTCTACAAACTTTCACAAAGGTTTGTCTACTATATAACTCTCCCATTCTGGTACTATCTTTAGACTAACAACCCAATCTGAGTTTATTGTAAAGCAGGGTAAGTTATTTTTATTAGTATAAATAAATTTATTTAAGTTATATAATTAAAATTTATTAATAAATAGAATATAAGTATTTAATACTTTTTGAAATAATTAATCAAAGTAATTAAATACCTAACAAACTATAATCATATTATATATAATAAATACTTTATTTTAATGTGTTTTTTATAAACTTTTAAAATTTAAATAAATTTGCCAAAACAATATACAAATTAATAATTGCTAAGATAAAATAAATTGGTATATATTTAAACATACAACTCTTTCCGATAATCACTTGAACTATATTTTCTGAAAAAAACAATTATTAAGAAAAAACACTGAACATTGAGGCAGTTCACAGTGTGAGGTCTAAATTATAAGACGTAGGAAAATAGACATAAGTCAGCACCTGTCATTTAGAGGTAGTTCTCATATAGTTCCTTGCTGACAGGTTTAGAGTTTATTACTTACTGCATCACAGCACTTGTCATTTAGAGGTAGTTCTCATATGCTACCTGCCAACAAGCTTAGAGTTTATCACTCACTGAAAAAATTAAATACAGTCAACTCTGTTTATAACGAACTGACGAGTCTTATAGTAAAAATTTTTAAAAGTTCGTTATATAGTAATTTACTATATTTTATATACCGAACTTATATTAAATTTGAAAAAAAAAGTTCATTATATAGTGTGTTCGTTATAAAAAGGTTCGTTATATCCAGAGTCGACTGTACTATGCATATTGTGGACAAAGGGTTGAATCTAAATAAAAGAAAACTCACACTCCTTTAAGTGCTCTCAAGTAGTTTTTCATCTATTTTTCATTTTTGTTGCTCTTACCAAAACTTTTGACAAAAAGTGGGTGATTTGGCTTACCCCCTCCAAAAGATCAGCATTGTTTACACCTTCTTAATTCAGACAAACTTAGTAGAATGCAACCACGTGTTTGGTTTGTTTATTAATACGTTACTATGGTACGAGGAAGAGACCGGTCTCCCGTTTAGAAGATACCTGAGTAAAGTCAGTGTCTGGAATGAGTTTCTAACGATAAAGTGATGTCTTATAATTGAGATATATTAATTAGTTGCAATTATTATATAATTTTTTAGCTTTGCACAGGTTATAATAGTGCTTTTTTTTTAGTATGTTGTTTATTATGACCACACTATTTCTTTTTTTGCTTTTCTCATCTTCTTCCATTTATAATGGAATCTTTTTAGGAATTTAGTTTTTTTTTTCTTGTTTTATGTCTTCTTCTAAACTTGTTTTTTTCTTTTGTAAAATATAGTATTTATCTTTTTCCTTATGTATAAATAAGAGATCATGTATTCTGCCTGAACTTAGGTGAAAAAAGTTTAAAGAAGGGATAGGTGGTCATAATGCATGGCAGGAAGCATCTTTTTGATATGGTATTTAACTTCAAGTTCAGAAGTGAATACCAAGGAGGGAGACTCCTGCTATAGCAAGTCGAATATAGGTACCCAGTGGGCAACCGGGTTAGTCTTAACTCACAATTTAGATATAGTTGGTGGCCCTCGGGTGCGGCACTTGTCGTTTAGAGATAGTTCTTATATGCTATCTACTAACAAGTTCAGAGTTTATTACTTATCGATAAGTTTTTCTAAAATTTTAATAGTCTTTGGCATAAATTTTACGGATTTTATAAAATAAATATCAACAAAATTTAACTAATATAAAAATTAATATATTTGAAGTTGATACAAAACAATAAATTATAGATTTTAGTTAATTTATGATTAAAAAATTAAATTCACTAAATCAACAGCAAGGAATGTATTCAAAAAAAAATATAACACCATATATGCATATGCTAGCTCAACATATACCTAAATTATGTGTAATTTAAAAACCAAAGAATTATCATTATGTTTATTTTCAACCTCTAGTCTAAAAAAAAAATCTTGAACATATAAAAACTATTGCTTTATTTAAAACAATTTTTTATATAATTTATTTTTATATTTGCTATATTTTATTCTATTTGATATAGCTTTTTTTTTCTAGAACAACAATAGGTGGAGATAAAATTTATAAACCTGTAGTATATGATATTATGGAATATGAAAATTGGCAAATATATTATCAAATTCATAATATTCCTACAGCTTATTTACACAAAGTTATTAAAATTAAAAATTAGATTTTTAAAAAGAATATAATTTAATAAAAATTTTATTTACTTATTCAGAAATAAAATTTTTAAATGAACAAGTCATTAAACCACATAACAAAGAATAATGATGTTTTTTATATACATGTTCTTTCCAAATAAAATTAACTTGATACGTCTCAATTTTATTTTCCATTAAAACATAAGCAACTGTTCCTGATCCATCTTCTTTGCTACCCCATTTATCATCGTTTAATGATTCCTAATTCTTTATAACCTGTGCTTCCACTAAAACTAACTATATATTTTTTTGTGATACAATAAAATTAAATGTAAAAATATGGTGAAATAAAGTAATAAATAACCCTTCAGAAAAAGGTTCTAATTTAATTGTTTTTTCTTTTGACAACATTCCGACCGAACTGAAGATGTTTTTTTTTATTTGAATAATAAATGCATTTCTAAACTGTTCAGCTTGAGGGAGCAGTTATAGTATATATATGCGGAATTATTTTATTGTTCTGATATTTAGTTTTTTTGTGTTTAACAAGAGAACTTTGAGATTGATATGAATAACATAAGTTTGATGGACAAAGATAGCAAAGTTATGTTGAAACCAATGTTATAATTATCACGAGTATAGATATAAAAGTGATTTTATACAATCTTGCAGTATCGTTATTTATAACACCCATGTTATATAACACCTATATAGTCATAATTAGAGATAGATTAAGGTTAGGGTGTGGGTATTAAGAATTTTTTTTTTATATAATATAATATAGAGCTAATATAAGGTCCCGATTTCAGTTCTCGTGAGGTTTTTGGGGGTCCTGAACTCACCTCTAAAAATCAAAATCCGCCCATATGAGCATCTGTCTGAAGTTGTACTGACTGAAATTAGCCCCTGAACTTAGATCTTCCTGTATTGGTTAGTAATTTTAGGCAGGCTCAACATCGCACACACATAAAAAAGTTTAATGTGCAATAGTTTCTACACCATATAGAAATGTCTCAAAACAAGTGTCTACAAATGTAATAAATGATCCGGAAATTAAAGATATACCTAAAATATCCCCCGAACCTGCAAATGTAGCAGAAAAAAATCATAAACCACATCGATGAAATTATATGGGTCAGAATGGCAAACTAAAATTTTGTTTCTTGAATCATCATTGGTTGTTTCTCTTTTAGAAGTGAATGTGATGAATGTTGACTAAGATTAACAAATGAATTGATCATGGGATCTAAATTAGCCAATCAATTTGGTTAAAAGGGAAAAATTTTAATAGAAATGATGATGAAATAAGTGACGCATTTATTTCAAAATTGAACGATCGATCTTTAAACATTAAAATGTTTCAAAATTCATCTTTGTATGCTTCGGAATTTCAAAAAATAATAAACTCCCCTTATTTTCGAAATAAGATATTTTGAAACTAGAGATTGGAAAATTATTATGTATTCCTATTTAATATTGCTTAATATTGCCTAAAGTTTTTTTGCAACAAGTAAGAATAAGTAATTCTCACAAAAATTTACTTAAACCTCAGTTTTAATCATGTAGCTAAATGAGAGGTGGTCTATGAAGATGGAATTCCGACATAATTTAATAATATCAAAATGATTAGTTTTTATAAATTTGGGTATAAATTATATTTATAAAATAGAATTTTATGATATTATTGATCAATCAGTAAAAGTCAGTCACAGCCATTTTCTTAGACCACCTCTTAATTATCCCTCAGAGTTAATAAAGGATAATAATTAATATTATTTTACTATTAAGTAAAGGACAAGTCATAAGTAATACAAAGTTACTTCCTATCCATTGCTTTAAGATATTAATAAAAGCTACGTATTCAAAATAACTTTAGGATAGATTTATAAGCTAGACGAGAATAGGATTGTCCGTTAGATCGCCTAAACCTATCTACCTACCTACGTACGTACGTACATACGTTCATGTGTAAGTACTTCACAAATTGCAAATCTCGGCGTAATATTTATCCTAATATTCCTAAGAATATTTAATATAAATAATGGGAAAAAAATAGAGTGATTCTTATACAAATCAAATTATTATATTCATTTCCAATACTCTAAAATGGGTTACTACTTAGTTGCATTTGTTGCGTTTGTTGGCTATTTTTTGTACAAATGTTATATCTATCCGTTATATTTATCCCCATTACGTAAAGTTCCTGGTCCACCTGTTAATAATTTTATTCTTGGGCATTATGCCTCTATTTTAAATAAAGATCTAAGTGAAGCTTTTGCTTACTTGGCAAGACAATATGGTGGAATAGTTCGGTATCATGGCTTATTGAACGAATCCAATCTATTGATTTCCGATCCAAAACTTATCCAGCAAGTACTGGTAAATCATTCATATGATTATCCAAGGTTATTTTTTATGAAAAATGTGGTCAAAGCAGTTTTAGGTGAAAGTATTATACTTGCTGAAGGGGATGCTCATAAACGACAAAGAAAAATGATGAATCCTTCATTTGCTTTTGCCAATGTCAAGGTATTCTTTTACGATCATCAATATTACGTTAATCCTTATAATTATATTTAGTTGGTTTGACTTCTTAATTTTAAGGAAATGTTTCCAATATTCATTCAAGCTGGCCACAAATTGAAAAATATCTGGATGAAACAAATTGACAATGGAAAAGAGGAAAGAATTACCATTACTACATTAATTTCAAAGATAACTTTAGATGTTATTGGCCTTGTTGGTATGCATTAATCTGTATTCATTTTAAAATGTTTAAAATTTTATCAATGACATAATCGTAATAACTACATTATTTTAATAGGATTTAATTACGAATTCAATTCTACTATTTCAGAGTCTAAATTAATTCAAGCATATAATTCAATAGTTAATGTTAATCCTCCGATTTTATTCTTGGCTCTTATTGATCTCTTTCCGTTCATAGGATCAATTCCTAATCCTTATAGGTTTCAATTCGCTGAATCTGTTAAAATTGTAAAAAATATTTCTGAAAGACTAGTTGCTGAACAAAAAAATGCATCTGTTCAAGGAAAAGATTTATTATCTTTATTAGCAAAAGCCAATGAAAACTTGCCTGTTGATGAACAATTAACGCATGCTGAATTGATTGGTCAGGTAAAATTTATACAACTTTATTAAATTTATTTTAAATTATAAATTTATTAAATTCTTTAAATTTATTAAATTCTTAAGGTTATGACATTCCTCGTTGCTGGACATGAAACCACTAGCACTGCATTATCTTGGGCACTATACTTTCTCGCAAAAAATCCTGATTATCAGGATCGTCTTCGTAAAGAATTACTCGAGGTGTTTATTGATCGTAATCATTTTCCAACCTTCGATGAAATTGAACATTTGAAATATTTAGAATGTATCTTAAAAGAAACTTTAAGAATCACTCCACCTGGTATAATATCCTATTTTTATCTTTAATTTATTCTACATATTTATTAATCTAATTTATTCTATATTTATTTATGACTGAAAGTGTCTATACTCCGGCGTTATAACTTAAAAGATGAAATTATGAACGGTTATGTTATTCCTAAGGTATTTTTCTTAAATAACCTTCCATAATTTAATTTATTTGATAGTTGTATATATAATCTTTAAAATTTCTCTTTT